GATTGAACACTGACCGGGCAGATGGGTCTGCAACCTTCCCCGACCAGTCTTACCATCTTTTCTGAAAAAGTATGGTGTTCTACCCGGGTGGTTTTGTGATGTTCAATTCGATTGAACACTGACCGGGCAGATGGGTCTGCAACCTTCCCCGACCAGTCTTACCATCTTTTCTGAAAAAGTATGGTGTTCTACCCGGGTGGTTTTGTGATGTTCAATTCGATTGAACACTGACCGGGCAGATGGGTCTGCAACCTTCCCTGACCGGTCAAACCATCTTTTCTGAAAAAGTATGGTGTTCTACGCGGGTGGTTTTGTGATGTTCAATTCGATTGAACACTGACCGGGCAGATGGGTCTGCAACCTTCCCTGACCGGTCATACCATCTTTTCTGAAAAAGTATGGTGTTCTACCCGGGTGGTTTTGTGATGTTCAATTCGATTGAACACTGACCGGGCAGATGGGTCTGCAACCTTCCCTGACCGGTCATACCATCTTTTCTGAAAAAGTATCACTTTATTGGACATTGGCATGGTACATATCCGGTCTTAGCGGATGATAAAACGGTTGTTCAACACCACTTTTGTCTTTTCCTCCCTACGAACTCTCTTCAAGAGCCTTTTCAAACGTTCTTCCGCTCTGTCCACTTGGTTGCTGGGTGGTTCAGCATGTGTATGCATCGCCACTCTAGGCTGGCTTTCCGTCTGGCCCTCTGCTCTAGGCACCCTGCTGTGTTGGGGCTCATCACAGAGGCGAGGGTCAAAGTGCCTGGTCTGACCGGGTCGCCTGTCACCTTCTAGTCTGTAGAATTTGCCTTGCTTGGGAACCTTTACCCCCAACCGCTCCTTGGCCGGTCGGTTCTGGTTCCGCCCCTCATGTCCCAGCCTCTGGAACACTGACCATCGTGAACCTTCTGGCTGGACGGCTTTGCCCTGCAGCTTTTTCTGGCCCTTTGGAATATCACAGTCTTCATCCCTGCTGCGCACGCCCCCGTTGGGTGTGACCTGAGTGTGGAGATTGTGGGATCTGCTCCTCCTAGACCGAGAAGGGCCTGCCCTTTCCAGCTCCCCGGGTGGTTTTGTCGGGATGACCGATCGGGTGGTACTGGCCAGTTGAAACGAAGGGAGATGCCCCAACATGTTAGGAAGCGATGTATTTTGAGCTAGAGCATGGGGATACATCCCAGGGATGAAAAGAGTAAATCCCCCGGGTTGTTGGAAAATGGGCATAGATTGTCCAAAGTTTTGGAAGGCTTGATTGGGCGTTGTTTGAGTAGTAAATGTGGTGATCATGGGGGAGAAAAGAGAAGGTAATGATGTGATTCCTCCCGGGATCAAGGTAACGCCCTCCACCGGGGTGGATTCTATATTGTTGTTCGTCATGGCTTCTTTTTGTAAAGAGGTCCCACGGGTGGCGCCAATTTGATGGTGTAAATTACCACGCGAATACTAAGTAAAAGTGATCGGAAGGGTTGTAGGTGGAAACACCTGTAACCCGGTTTGTTATTGATAATATTAGGACTCTTACAAAGTACAAGCCGTGTAGGTTAATAAAAACCTGCCCCACAAATGAGGCTTTTAGGGGTATTTATAATAAAAACAAGCATGTCAAGCACGTCCCGACGTTACTGTTCTTCCGGCCGGTCAGTCTTCAAGTCATCCACCCGGGTAGGCTTCAGGTCATCCACCCCGGGCAGGCTTCAGGTCATCCACCCGGGTAGGCTTCAGGTCATCCACCCCGGGCAGGCTTCAGGTCATCCACCCGGGTAGTCTTCCAGCCATCCACCCCGGGTGGTCTTCCAGCCATCCACCTCGGGCAGTCTTCAAGCCTTCTCTGCGAATGAAGTCACGATCTCACATGTCTGACCTGCACATCCACCTGGTCAGTAAACCGGGGTCGGTGCTAGTGGATTATATCCATCACCTACCTTTACCTACCTAATAAAACTTTTACCTCCCTCCAACCAAACATACCGTAAATGTTTTGATTGTAGGGAGAGCCAGGCATATGGGTAGTTCGGATTCTGGTTCAATCACTTACTTGTAGTTCAAGTTATTTTGAGTTCAAATCAATTTAGGTTTGGATTGAAAACTGAAAAGTGTATATTATGCACCAAGGTTCAAATGACATTGAATCTTAATGTCATAGGATGACCCCGATGCCGCTCCGGTGCCCCGTTCATAAAATTGACGGTTCCTACCCCCCCTAACCCCCCCGGTAAACCCCCCACCCCAGCCCCGACCCGAACACACCCCCCCACCCCCCTTCAATTACACCCCACAAGTTGATTTTGACTTTGGAGTCAACTTTTGACTCCAAAGTCAAAATCAACTTGTGGGGTGCAATTGAAGGGGGTGGGGGGTATGTTCGGATCGGGGCCGGGGTGGGGGGTTTACCGGGGGGTTAGAGGGGTAGGAACCGTCAATTTTACGAACGGGGCACCGGAGCGGCCCCGGGTCATCCTATGACATTAAGGTACAATGTCATTTGAACCTTACCCATGTTTATGACTATGTGTCATTGGGTTTAGGTCGATCCAACATGTTATGACTTTCTTAAAATTTTTAAATTCACATTAACACTTGCATTATTTATTGAAAGAACTTAAAATATCAAAAAGCGTGTATTAAATCTATTAGATTATTTTATTTTAAATTTTGTAGTAATTTTTTGATATATAAATCAATATAGAGAATTAAAAAATGCATAAGTTTTAGAAAAAAGTAAGAAATTCATGCAATCATTAAAATTTTGTTCGAAAATATAAATCTATACACTCAAAATGAGTAGGTAAAGTATATAATTTTAAAAAACTCTTACATTAATTGGTCGGTCAAGTCAGGTTTGGGTTCACTTTGGTTTGACTTGTTTTAGTGGGTCATTTCGGGTTCTGTCAACTTTAGGTTCGGTCATCAAAACTTTTGTTCAAAACTCAGTGTTTGCGGGTCGAGTTTCGGGTAAAAATAAGTCAAGTTATTTTTTGCCATGTCTAATTCAAGTACTTTTTATAGTTATAAGTAGTTTTTAACTTTTAATTTGTATTTAGGTGCCCTAGCGACAATCAAATACCTATGTAAATGTACACTTTATCATGAATGGAAGGCCTTGAAGTATGTTTTATATCTCGTGTAACATACCATAGCTTCAGCCCATAGACGATAGCGCTTCAGTAACATAGACGAGGACTACGATGTTCTGATTATGAAATTGTTACTTCTTGACGAAGGCTATGTCTAGAATATCCCTAGTCGCACTTTTTGATAATACGGACGTCATAACGTATCAAGGCTAGTACGTACAAGATGAGATAGTTGCGTCTCATAGACTATAAGTTTTGTGATATCTTAATCTGTACGTAGGTGCATATTATATCAATAATATGTGACTGGATTGACCCATCTCGAGAATACTGCATGGATCTAGAGTAATGTGTTTATCAGTATTCTCAATTCGACCTTGCTGTAACTATCCTCAGACTTGAAGTTATTACATTCTCTGAAATGTGGGGTTGTATGTTTTGATTTACAACTAATGCTATCTGAAATACTGGTAGACGTACAGTTATGCGTTGGGTATGCCGCTAAGCATATTTAGAGATGTGAATAACAGATATAGGATCTGTCTCTTCTACTGTATAGAAGCATAATGTCAATGGGCGCACTGAATTGTAGGACTTGGGAAAGTGTATGGCCATGCCCGAATATGTCCCTCTCCAAAGACTAATAAATATCTGATCCCTGCCAGTTTACTCGAGATTCAGTAACAACTCATTTATCTATAAAAGGATACACATCTCATGCATTGTGTTAAATCATGACATTTAGGACAGAAAGATAATAGTTATAGAACGTCTTGTGTCATAGAAGGTATTGATGAGATGACGTCTTTTTCATAATCTGGGGGTAATAATGTGTTTCCAGATACCGCTTATTATCTACTCCCTCCGTTCCACAAAACCCTTCCTTTTTCGTTTTTTTTGCTTTCTACAAAGCACTTCCACTTTCTATTAAAAAACCACTTTTATCCCTACTTTTTCATACCCTACCTATCACATTATACTTTTTCACTAATAACCAAACTATCACATCTTACTTTTTCCCATCACATCAGGGGACAAATTGGAAAGTCAACCAAAATTACACTTTCCTTATTTTTCCCCAAAGTCAAAACCGGATGGATTTTGTGGAACGGAGGGAGTATGATATTAATTTATGTTAATATCATTGTCAGTGCAATGGATACCTAAAGGGTCACACACTTAGGACTTGTAAGGGAGTAGTATACTTCTATATTATATCAAGAACAATAGGCCCTAAAGATTGTTTATGTCGTCTCGTGTGATTTAAACATAGCTTTAGTCCATAGAGTAGACGCTCTAGTAACATAGATGAGAACTACGAGATTCTGATTATGGGCTGTTACAAAGATAGAGGCTACGTCTAAAATATCCTTAGTCGAATATTATGATAATACGGACATCATAATATATCAAGACTAATATGTATGATGTGACACACCCCACAAGTCAAAGAACCAGTAAACCATCAATTTAACTTTAACAAGGTGACACACCATATACCTTGTGTTAAATCAAGATATTAGTGATAAATGGATAAGGGTTATACAAATACGATGTGTCATTAAAGAAATTGTTCCAAGAGCTTTATATCTATAATTAAGGGGTGATAATGCATGTGTTGCTAGATGCCGCGTATCACTTGTAGTATTTAATCGACACTATGACCATTTTTATAGGTACCTAGAATAGGGTCACACACATAAAACATATGAAAAGTGTATAATATTTAAGTGGAGTAAAGTTTCATTTTATATACATTGTGTATATTACATTATGTGACAATGTGATTAGATACACAAACATATATATAAATAAATAAATGTTAATATTTGGACATTTTAATTATTTGATAGTTAAGTATGTCAAATATAATTAATAATAAAAAATATTTATTCAGATATATAGATAATAAATTGTTTATTATTTTATTATTATTATTGAGGTGCAAATATATATATATATATATATATATATATATATATATATATATATATATATATATATATATATATATATATATATATATATATATAGGGATTGACTCCAGTCAGATGACATCTTTCGGTCAGATGACATGCTTCAGAATGAGCACCACCTTGTTTGAGAATGAACACTACCTTATTTCAGAATGAGCACTACACTGAGCAGACTGTGAATGAGTACTAGGTTGTTTCAGAATGAGTACTACGTTTATAATGAACAAATGTGTGAAAGTCAACCCTACGATGTCTTAGAATGAACACTACGTGGGTTCAAAATGAACCCTATGTTGTTGTCTCGTTGGCTATGAATGAACACTACATTGTGATGAACAGTTGTGTGAGAATGAATCCTACGTTGTTTAAGAATGAGCGCTACATTGATTCAGAATGAGCATTCGTTGTCATCTGACCGAAAGTGTCATCTGACCGAAACATGTCATCTGACTGGAGTCAATCATATATATATATATATATATATATATATATATATATATATATATATATATATATATATATCTGTGTGTGTGTGTGTATATATATATATATATATAAATATATATATACACATATACATACATACATATCAGGGTAG